TCCCTGTTGTTGGACCCGCCCGTTCAAAACCAAGATTTTAAACTCGACAACAAACTGCCGCAAACTAGGGCGCAACGATTTCGCTGCTGGTCTCCCGTGTTCACTCGTTCGTTATTAAAGTTTCAGGACTTCCCGGGCATTCTCCGCTTTATTTCGTGCGTTTCACTACCGCCATTTTTATCTTCGGTCTTTATTCCTGCTTCTTTGTTTTTAGCGACGGATGTGTATTTTATTGTAGGTAAAAGTGAACCTGTAACGTCGTTGATATATGCAACGGAATAACGGTCCCTTTCATTCCTTTTATGGTAAAACTTCTCTGTCTTCCTTTCATTCGCGAGCCCTCGTTAATTCCGCGCTAACGCGGCCAAGTTGTTTAACGGCGTCATTTTTTGCGTGGAATAATTACGCTTTACGCTTAACGCCGTTGCAAATATACTGAAATTGTTCGTTTCGAATCCACGCGCAACAGAACTTAAACGAAATGTTTAATGTACCGGTGCTTCAACGATTCCCAGGTTCATCAGTTGGTTGGAATTTTTGTCTCGAAGTACAACAGCCTCTTTTTTAAATAAGTTCATTCGTTGAGTTATTGTTTCATAAGTTCAACGTTGAATTATTGTCCGAATACGACCGACGTGATATTGAACGTGTTGACACAAAAACTACCGGGCCTAAACGTAACTAATATACAGGGTATATATTACATAGGGTATATATCAGGATATATGTATATATTAGTGAATATGTAGAGTATATATTACTATCATATAATTTGTATTTGTAAAAAGTATCTCTCTCAAATTGCATATGATGACGGATTATGTATTATAGCGATACTCAGGTTTGATTAGAATATATTTTATTAACTTTTTTGACAAAAGTTCAAGTGATAATCGTGTATTTGTAAATGAAAAACTTTTGAACAGAATGATCTTGGGCTACGTGTATCTCGCGTTCGGTGACGCAACTTCGCAAATGAAGTGCAGCCTCGTTCCTTCGGATCTTATCGAAATGCGAGTTCTCAAAAGTTATTCTGATCATCAAAGTACGTCATCGCGATATTCAACAGTAAAACAATGGGTTTTGTTGTCGAATCTGGGTAATCACACAAATGGACCATACAGACATCCTTATTCAGAACATGCAGTCAGGCTAGTTCGAGCAGTACGTGTGTACATATATTAGTAACTACAAGCTGAAAATGTTAATATGGAACAAATACAAAAAAATAGTAATCTGTTCGACATTAATACAAAAGTTATGATTTATCCGTATAAAATATAGTACTATTTATATTCCCTAATTATAGTTCTCAAACTCAAACATCTAAATAGGAACATACGAATGCGTCCATTGTGCTTTATTAATATAATTTAATAATACTATTATTATAGCATTACTTTTTATAGCATTATTGTAGTGCCATTATTAATAGTGCCCTTTCAATACCACTATTATAATATTCTTTTTAGATATAACTATAATATTAGAAGTATATTCATCATAATGAAAGGATAATTTCTGTGTATGCTTGTCTTATTATTTCAATTAAAATTTTTGTAAAATGTGTCTGTACATTTCAGTAACTTTAGAACACTTCTCATGGAACTCGTTGAAAAAATCTGTACATAGTGTGATCGATAGAAAATGTATAGGTCATAAAAATTGATTCACACATTAAGAAGTTAATTGTGGTTGTATGAAGCAGCCTTCTAAATTAAATTGGTCTTTAGACCAATTTTTTAAAACATGTACAACCGAAGAAATTGTTTGTCGAAATGATTTTTTTGTGATAACTTCAAACATCGGTACTTTTTAAAATTCAGTCGTATATTTCGTAGTATTGTTTACAAGAGATATTCTGGTTTTAATATTGCAAAATGGTAAACAAGCAAATATAGCGTACACATTTTTTTTAATTTTTATTCATAATTGCACCAGACCCTTATGGGTCTATCAGTAATTTTGATACATGTATGCACACCTGTAAGCAGGTGGAAGGGAAACACATACCCTTTCTCTTTTGATATCTTTAGTCTATTTGCACTGTTTCCAGTATTGATTAGATTGTTTGCCAGATATAGCATACACGTGAAATAGCGAAATGTTCAAGAACTAGAACTGTATTTCTAATATTATTTTTTACACATTTTTCATCACTTTATTTTTCTTAGAAGAGAATCGTACACTCGAAGGTTAAATTATGCCATCGCCAATGATCTGCTTAAAATTTATTTTCATACCATCACGAGACCTGCAGAATGATTACGGGTAACCATCTACTCGCATTTTTATGAAGTTGTTAAGGCCAACTTCAATTTTGTGTTTGAGGAACTTATACTTCTTTTACGATCATCTGTTAGCTGATATTGAAACGTGTTCGGCAAGTATCATAAAATATTCGTGTATAAGAAAACAGTAAAAAGAGTACTCGAGCGTGAAGGAATTTAGAGAGACGTGCTACAAAACATGCTGTATGTGATGTGTAGCAGCTACGGTATACGTCCATAGGCGAAAAAGTTGCCAATGTCGTAGCGTTTAAGAAATTTTTAGCCTACGGAGTTTGTTATGCTGTTTTAAAGAAATATATGTATAAGCTAGACAATGCAATGATGCCTCGTTCTAATATTTCAAAATAATAATTGATTTAGGATAATTCATTATTAGACCGTGGATTTTTATTTAAAATAAAAGTTGCTCGACCAACTGCAAGAAGCAGACACTAAATAGAAATTTCTTTCTCCGTTTATTGACTTTAATATGCCGAAGTTAATACATTGACGTTTTGAAATACTTTAAATCTGTCCACTGCTTTAAATGGAATCTATTTAATTTTGGTATAAATACATAAAATCCGAAAATCACTTATTATTTTTACAGGACGAGTCACATAACTTGCACGGCTCTAATAACTACTAAAATAAAATAACTTTGTTTTAGTTGATATTAAAAACTTTGAAACCTCTCACCTTTAAAACCATGTTTTTAACAATTTGAACAATTTTTTTTCCTGTCATAATATTTGCCCCTTTGAATCAATTAATATTTTCTTCTGACATTACTCTATCTTAAAAAAAAACAGGCGAGATATTTTAGATGCTCGTGTTAGACGAGACAACCGACTGTATATGTATGAATATTCGTGCTATTTTTATTGCAAAGTGGAATTCAATCGGACACGATGTCATAGGGCATTTTTGGTTCCAACTGACCTACTCCGCACCTTTTAAAATATTTCAACGTGAATCCGTCGAAGACGCTGAGCGTTTACAGCACGCTTTTACGATCCGACAGGCCGAAAACACAGCTCGAGTACGTGATCCTGATTCTTAAATTCAAAATCGATTATCTTACATCTCCTCCGGGCTACTTTCACGTCCGTTGATGCGCCTGTTCCTGACTTTTCTCAATTTCCCCCAATAAAAGAAGTCATGAAATAAAATAAGGAATTTTTAATCAGAGCCAAAAATTGAAACTAATATAATACCAGCTACGAAATCAGTCAAAATGTGACTGCTTCTGGTTTTTTCTTTTATAGTTCTTAATATTCTAAACATGTTTCCGTGAAAAATTTTCAGATAAACATCTTTATTCAAGCGTACACAGGTTTTGCACTAAAAATGAGCGTTTTTGTAGATCGTATTCACCTTTTTGCAATTCGAATTCACCCTTTTGAAAATTAAATTCACTTCTTTGTTATGATTTGTAGTAAAATTCATATTAAATTAAAAAATTAATTAATTTTAATTGCAAAAGGCGAATTTGGTTTGCAAAAGGATGACCAAAGTCTATGAAATTAATACGAATTTCAAGTAGATTAATATGATTATGATATTATTATTATGATATGAAAAAGCATTAATTCTAAATACAAAACGTAGTTTAGATAAGTCTAATCTTCTCATTGTTAAAAAACAATACACATTATTCACGTTTAAGACTTGATCGTCCTAGTTTCAAATATTGTTATTCTAAACTTACATCTAAAGAATAATAATGCTCAAATTAGAACAATGCTCATTGTCAATTTCAAGTAATCACGCTTTAACGCCGACATTTACATATAGAAATTCAAATCTTTTAAGCGAAAGTCGCAATTAGATGTCACCGCAAATCTTCCGTGGCATTTCTGTTGTTATCACTCATAAATTAATACGGAATATTATCCACTTTCGCAGACAATAAAGATTAAACCCTTTTAGGCAGAGATTTCCGCAAAATCTTGTTAAAAGTTATGTGAGCAAATCAGCGGTGGACTGTTCGACGTTATCACCGGAAACATCGGACGCATGGAAAGTAGAATAATCAGAGTAAAATCTGGCACACCAGGTGCATCCACCATCTAAAGTCTCGCGGTCCGGCAGTCAACGAGTGGATGTCGTTGGACCATTAAAGTGACGAAGAGATGGATACGTGACGTGTGACACGAAATGTTGATAAGAAGAAGGGGAAACGACTCGGAAGCCAAGACGACGAATAGCAGGAAATCGAAGTGGAAAGCCGAGCCATAACTTCTCCCTGCGGAGAGAGATAACTATCGACGAAATAGAACGGAAATTTCTTAGTTCCCCGCTGATATAACAAACTTTTATGTCCTATACATTCCTTACCATTTGCATTTCTATTCTTTCAGAACCAAGAATTCAATTTCCATCAACTAAACGGTTTCGCGAATCTAAATATCTTTGACATCACGTTTTGGCCATCGTTTTTATACAGAGTGCGGAGAAAATTCTGTTCCTTTATGAAAAACGCTCCCTTTTTTCTGCAAATGTTCAGCGTCCATAGAAGTATCTACGTTATCTCAATAATCCCAAATTAACAAATTGAAAACCGATCACTCGACCGGTGATGGTACGTTTAGTGTAAAGTGAACTTCGTATCAGATTTACATTTTAGAATTGTTCAACGCTCGCGGCATCTGGAAAATCACGTAAGATTTTCACAAACGTGACACAAATATATTAAAATTGGTTTAAGAATACTCCGGAGTTACTTACCTTATTGAGACGAGTATCATGGCGAATATCAGGTACTTTCCAAGCAGCGGCACGACCAGCGACGTAGGTGGAATGATCTCGACGACCAGCAGGAAGAACACGTGAAGACTGATGAGGATCGAGATAGAGAGCGTGACCTGTAATCGAAAATTGTTCGACTAAGAGACGCAAGCTTAAACTATTTGCAATTTAGGTTAACGTTCACTGTGAGATTTTGCTTTAAACGAACGGGATAATCAAATTACCTTTCCTAGCATATCATCGTAATAATTAGAATCCGAATTTTATGCATTTCTGATAAAAGGAATAGCAAAAATATTTAAATAATTTTGAAAGTATTATTGCATTCCTGTCAACTCAATGAAATAATTTAATGCTAGCCATATATATATACCATCGCCGGACAAATGATGAGTTAGATAATTCTAATTTTACAATTATTGATATTGTAAAGACACATTCACCAAAAATTGTCTGTTCACCGAATATTCGTCCCAACATACATTAAAATAAAAATTGGAAAAAATCTAAATAAATTCAATACTGTAATTTGCATAAGGCAATATGGACGAGTCATTTTAAACGCTCGGTACGGTTAGTGTTAAAAATTAAATAAATGTCTGCGTCAAATGTAAATAAATAAATTGTCTAATAATACGTGCAACATGAAGACGTGTAGAATATATGTAGAATATACGATGATGCACTTGTACCGAATGCTAAGAAAAGTAGTTTAAGTTTTCCTTAAATTAAAAATTAATCCAAATGATTATTAATTTTTAACACCATTTTCAATAGTTTTTAATAGCTTTTCGCAAACATTATACATTATAATGTAAAAGCTTGAGGTCATCGTGGTATAGGACAACCACTATTAAGGACGACAAGCGAAGACTTATTAACTAGTAGTTTCGTTCTTTATGAATTTTTGGAAGAACAACATATGTAAATGCAATAAAGAAAGCAAGAAATTATGCAAAAGAGTTTCCTCTTCCTGCTCTCTTTATCTAATACGATCCGATACGAAAATCCGATATTTCTCCTTCGCCGGGTAGCAAGAAAGTTGATGGTACCAGCTCTTCGAAGTCCGAATCATCCTCTTCGAAACTCGTAAGGAGAACCATCGGAGTTGGAAATCGCTTTTTGAAAAAAGGTAACTAAATTTCGTAGTATGTGCCCTGTAGTATAGGTCACTACAGCAATACCAACGGCTTTCACCAAAATGTGTTTTCCGTTTTAACAAAAACGGATTTAAAGTTTTGTTTTCAGTAAGGAGTGACACTACGGTAGCAGGTTAAAAATAAAGCGTTTCTTTAACTATTTACCACGAGTAAATAAACAAATAAATTTTTTTCAAAAGGGGATTTCGAACTACAGTAAATCCTTTCTAATTTTCCTTCAGCTCGTAAACAAAAATGGACAATTTAAGAAGAGGAGANCCGAATTTTATGCATTTCTGATAAAAGGAATAGCAAAAATATTTAAATAATTTTGAAAGTATTATTGCATTCCTGTCAACTCAATGAAATAATTTAATGCTAGCCATATATATATACCATCGCCGGACAAATGATGAGTTAGATAATTCTAATTTTACAATTATTGATATTGTAAAGACACATTCACCAAAAATTGTCTGTTCACCGAATATTCGTCCCAACATACATTAAAATAAAAATTGGAAAAAATCTAAATAAATTCAATACTGTAATTTGCATAAGGCAATATGGACGAGTCATTTTAAACGCTCGGTACGGTTAGTGTTAAAAATTAAATAAATGTCTGCGTCAAATGTAAATAAATAAATTGTCTAATAATACGTGCAACATGAAGACGTGTAGAATATATGTAGAATATACGATGATGCACTTGTACCGAATGCTAAGAAAAGTAGTTTAAGTTTTCCTTAAATTAAAAATTAATCCAAATGATTATTAATTTTTAACACCATTTTCAATAGTTTTTAATAGCTTTTCGCAAACATTATACATTATAATGTAAAAGCTTGAGGTCATCGTGGTATAGGACAACCACTATTAAGGACGACAAGCGAAGACTTATTAACTAGTAGTTTCGTTCTTTATGAATTTTTGGAAGAACAACATATGTAAATGCAATAAAGAAAGCAAGAAATTATGCAAAAGAGTTTCCTCTTCCTGCTCTCTTTATCTAATACGATCCGATACGAAAATCCGATATTTCTCCTTCGCCGGGTAGCAAGAAAGTTGATGGTACCAGCTCTTCGAAGTCCGAATCATCCTCTTCGAAACTCGTAAGGAGAACCATCGGAGTTGGAAATCGCTTTTTGAAAAAAGGTAACTAAATTTCGTAGTATGTGCCCTGTAGTATAGGTCACTACAGCAATACCAACGGCTTTCACCAAAATGTGTTTTCCGTTTTAACAAAAACGGATTTAAAGTTTTGTTTTCAGTAAGGAGTGACACTACGGTAGCAGGTTAAAAATAAAGCGTTTCTTTAACTATTTACCACGAGTAAATAAACAAATAAATTTTTTTCAAAAGGGGATTTCGAACTACAGTAAATCCTTTCTAATTTTCCTTCAGCTCGTAAACAAAAATGGACAATTTAAGAAGAGGAGATACGATTATTCGAGCCTTGCAGCTCATTTTTATAATTGTTGACAATTGGCAACTATAAAAATGACCCGCGAGACTCGTTTAATCGTATCTCCACTTTCTAACTTGTCCATTTTTGTTTACAAGCTGAAGGAAAATTGAGAAGAATTTACTGTACTGCGGTTCTCCGTGTCAAATAGGGTAGAACGCGCACACATTCTTTGACCTACATCTCCTCTCAAATTGTTCACGGACGTTATGTAGTGTCAAAATAATCATATACACAGCATAACGTAGCAGAGCACAACACTTTGTTGGATATCGTACAAATTTTATAGCATAGCATTGTAGCATAGCATAGCTTAGGTTAGCTTTCCGGTGGATCCTCGGCTTAAGGCGCATTTGTATCGTTGCAGGAGGATTCTGTTAGTGAAAGAACAACGTAAAAATGGCTCAACCGATTTAAGGCAAGCAATAAAACGTAATCAGCCGTGAGAAATTGCCTGAATCCATGTATTCGAATCACGTTGCAGGTGTTCAGACAATACTCCAGCACTTTCATCTGACGAAAAAAAGCAGTTTCGTTCTATTTCTTTTTATAAAATCATATTATCATACTTGCCAACGAGAATGGTGTACATTTTTGCACGTTAACACGCATACTTTTCAGACTCGTTGAAAAGTAAATAATTTTGGATGAGGATCTTCAGCACTTTAATTGCTACGTCAACAACCTCAAAAATTTCATAAGATTAAAGTATTTTATTTCATTGAATTTTAATATTCCAAAGTTAAATTGTGTGAGAAATATAATTTCATATAATCAATGTACAATCGATATCGGAGCCTGTACCCTGAATACAGTCTTCGTGTAGACGCATGCGTGTGAGACGACGCGTGAAGAAAGCGATCGGCGGTTGTTCAACTAGGTGAGTTCAATGTTATTTGTTTCTCGTTTACGCTATAGTGTCGTTTATTAATTCGATCCAAGTCTATTCCACGGCAAAATCCCGACAAATTGTACGACATCAATTACTTCTTCCAATATTCTTACGTTTCGTGAGACTGAATAAAAATAGAGAATTATACATACATAATAGATTAACGAAACATTTATTTTTCAATTATGAGTACAGTAAATTCTTCCTAATTGACGCTCAGATCATCGTTTTTCCTCTTCCTAAATTGTCTATTTTTGCGCACAATCTGAGCGTCAGTTGGATAATACGGAGAATTTACTATACATAATTCTGTCACTCCAGTATGAGTGACTGCTTCCTTCTTGCAATTATCTCCTATTTTAATCCATGTCATTTTATTGAAAATAAACGTTTTAGAATACCAAAGTGGACCAGTCAATTAATTTTCTGTATAGCTACTATACGATGAAACAAATGATGATTATTAGACTGCAGATCTCTGTCCAAAATAAAAATCTTTTGTGTCAGTTGCAACAGACAAGAGTTACTTAAAAATTGACTGTTTGGCTTAATAGCTTTAATAAATTGGAAACAATACAAAAATTCTAAATTCTTCTGAAGCTTTCATTGTTTTTATCTTATTTACATATTTTTTGCAATAAATGCATGAAATTCGTAGTCTAGTAATTACTTTATTGAAACATATTATATTACGTTTGATATGTTCGTGAGTTAGAGGATATTGGCATGTGTTGCAATAATGTGAGGGAGTTTTCTGAAGCAGACATCTGTGGGTCATTCTCGTGTAGAATTTTTTAATTAGGATTCTGTTTACAATTGCTTCAGTTTCCTATTAAAATACATTTTCTATTGCATCATGGAAGAAGTCATCTGAACTATTACACAGTTTGGTTGATCTCTCAGAATTCCACTTCTGATTCTATACTTGTTTGATGCGTGTTATTACTTTTTTGAATTGGTTCGTTTCTTCTTTGATCCATGTTATTATAATTTGCAGCCCGTTATTAGGATCCGATAGATTAGAGATTGTTCAAGTGTGTCTCTTAATCTATGCAAATTCTCACCACTGTTACTATTTTAAATCGCGGTACTTGTTGCATATTTCTACATACAACCCGAGGAAGAAGAAAGAATGTTAAACTATTGAAATAAACGTACCCGTCTTGGAAACGTAAACATTACTACCAAACTAACAGAATGTTCTCAAAGTTGATTATTATGTAATTTTATATATACACGACCGCGCAAGATTAAAAATAGTTCACTAGTAACAATGCTCAAAGTCAATAAACTGTAAAGTCAACGAGGACTTCTGCTTCATTCGCAATCGATTAATAACTTTTTTGAAATTCGCCTATAAAACTAGGAATTTGCATAAGCATCGGCAGTCTAGTTATGGGGTACCAGGATTGCTCCCTGACCTGGTGATCGGTATTTCAGTTTACGATGGAATACGCATCGGCAATCTCGTTAATCCCTTTATCGAGGGTTGCTATAAGCTATTGGTATTCAATATTATAATTCCGCAGCAGAGAACATTAAGAATATATATGGCCCTCGTGTTAGTTAGGTCGAGGTTGCGCCTGAATTAATCGCTGATTGCATCAAGGTTAAGGCAGG